TATAATTGTGTCACTAGCTGTGGATGGGCACAGTAATCATGTGGTACAGACTAGGCCAATCGTAGCCCATCTGTCATGTGATTCATGTGATTAGTTGTGATTTGCCATCCTGCTATCCTGCACTTTTGGGAGTACATGACTATGTGTCCTCCACTGGGTGCTGGAGTTCCCTATGCCTACATCAGTAGAACGCACAATAGTGATAAGGGGTTTGCAGGAAGAGCCACAGTGCCCATGGTGACTTGATTTCCTGAAATGTTGTACAGCAGTGACACCTGGAACTCTGCAAGAGATTGAAGAATTCACTTACTGCCCTCTAGACTGGTAAGTATATAACTTATACTTTTATAGGGGCAGCTGCTGGAGATTTTGTATACTAGTGGCAGGGCCAGTTAAAATATTTTATAGACTATTAACTTGATTTTATTTATTGAAAAAAATGATAATTTTGAAACTTCCCCTCCCCCTTTCTTTTAATATTCTGTATGTTTACTGGTGATCTTCCATCTTCACAAGACTCTATCACTTCCCTACTCCTTCACATTTATTCTAAATTAATTTTTCTGCACATTTGACCTGAAAATAGCCATAAAGTAGTTAATTGCTTAGAGTCTTTGAAAGATCACTAGGATCTACTAATTGATTAGAATCGTAAAATAAACAAGGCTAGTAAATAGATATTGTAATCCACACAGAAGTAGCACAACAGTATTTCAGTTATTACAGTATGGCCCTCAGAAGGACTAATGTGGCCCATTTTTATCTTAGCCAAATTGGGCTTAAGTGTCTTTCAGTTTGACATGCCTGGTGTATGGCAACACACTAGACTTTTTTAAATTTCTGGTCAGAGTAAAGTTTAAACTTTGATGTGAAACTGTTCTTTGAATTGAAAATACTTCTTCCTGTTTTTCTTTTCATTTTCAAGGTATCTGTACAGACCTATTTAGTTTTTTACATTTGTAATGTTCCTTTATACTGTATGTTCTTAAGTTTGTGTTTGGTTGTAGAACTGTAGTTGCACTAATAAATTACTTGCATTTTTAAAAGCACTCACGTGCCATTTAGCCAATTGTTTAATTTGTATTCATCTTATGTATCATTGACGTCTATTAGGAATTGCCAAGGGAGCTCTTAATGTAAACGAGGGATTAAATCAGGCCATCTACTTCACTTTGATAATGAAGGGGTGATGAATAGTGCTGTGTTTATGGAAATGGGACCATGTACACATAATAACAATTAAAAATGACTAACAAGAAGATAAACAGAGTGCAGCAATAAATAGAAATGAGTTATATCTGTGAGTTACATCAGATTAATCTTGGTTATTTTGAATTTTAAAATCTACTTGGGAAATACAAGTATGTAAATTCATGCAGAATACAATATAAGAATACTTATGAAGTCTCATAAATGTAACAGTGCTTGGGTTTGCTAATAAGGACAACTTTATTTACCAAGTACAAGCATATGTGAGGCAACATTTCTACCTTTCTTGTTAAAGTAGAATTCCAGCTAAACCTTAACTACTCTTAAAACAGTCCCCTACCCTCTCCTGACACCTCTGCTAATTAAGCTGTGTAAGAAAGATGTATATACTTACTTATTTTCGGGCTGATCTCGTCCAGTCACTTGATCCCCCTCCCTTCTGTCCGTCAACACTGCTTCAGGGGAGAGAAGGGACGTCTAACAACACATGGGACATTGAAGTCTATAGGTAACATCACCACTTCAGGCTTTACTATCTGCTATCAGAGCGCTCTCTCCTCTCCTCAGCAGCTGACACGGGAAATCCCATGACTGACTGGACCAGAAAGAGCTGAAAATAGGTAAGTACTGTATATACATCTTTCTTACGCAGGTTAGTAAGCATAGGTTTTAGGGGGGACAGGGGACAGTTTTAAGAGTTAGGCTGGAATTCCACTTTAATCCTTAGAATCTCAGCCTCTCATTACAGCATTTAGGCAACTGCACAAAACCTAACACTAGCCCTAACCCTAACTGCCACTGTCCATATGTAGCTATCAATCACCAGCAGCAATAATCAGTAGATTCCTTCTGCTCGGATGTGGATCATGACTAAATGCCTGTGCAAGTGCTGCCTAAAAAACAACCCTGTGTTAAGAACATGTAGCACCACCCTCTTGAGGGCCGCTGTGTTTCTGGATCCCTAAGCTTTGCATAGCCAGGCAACACGTATTTTTCACACTTGCATCCACAGTCAGTGAACAGTCCATGAGCTCGGTTTTTGTTATTTTTATTAGGGGATATAACTTGTATAGGGTAATAGGGATTATGGGATGCCCAACTTGACTAAATCAATGAATTGGGGCAATTTCTTTCCTATTTACAGAAACAGATCCTGGACTGTTCTTTTCCTTGAAAGTCATCAGTCTTTGCAGATCAGTAACAACTGCCCCTTATGGGCTAGGGACTCACATCCACTCTTAAAGTTAGCTTAGCTTGTTACGAACTACATGCAGAGTTGTCTCCTCTCACCTGTAGAACTGCTCCCAGCTCTACAGCCTGCAGACACTACCAGCCCTCCTGGCTGCTCTAAAGGGCAAGCATAAAGGATTAAGCACAGCTCTATCCTTTGAAAGCTTGCTTCATGTGGCAGTCTATCCCCTTTTAAATCCCTAGGTGTGCTCATGTACTCACTCTGTTCTCCTTTCTCTCACTGCTCCCAGGCTTTGGTCATGGTCATACTGTACTGCTGAGTGGACCGTCCTAAGCCAGCAGCCCGAGACCAGCCCCCCTAGACCTAGGGGACCCCTCCAAGGCCACCAACAATCTCCTCAGTACTCCATTTTCCACCTGACTCCCATGCCAGCCTGGCTCTCCCATATTAATGGGTTAGTCTCACCATTCTACCTGGGCCTCCAAACCTGAGATTGGCTAAACTCCCATAAACATGCAGATTCGGTTTCCACCCCTTCCACCCACTGGCTTTTGGAAGGTTCCATGGTCCTCCAGAACCAGGTGGAGGTGATAGAGTCCCAACCTGTTAAGCCATCCAGCTTGACCTGCAGTAACCCGACCTTAATCACAGACTCACACAGTTACCAAGAGTCATACACAAGAGATAAACCTACATTAGTAGCACACTAGAGGGTACTACATACATAAGAAAGCAGATGATACTTGTACAAAAAACTCAACAAGGTGATACTTGTAATTTGAATTCAGGTTCCCTACAGGCTGCAGCAGAAGGCACTGAGCCAAGCATGGCATCATAGAGATTTCTAGAGGTCTTCTGTACCCATCTATTTTACAGAATGCCCCGCTTTTCATTTTGCAGAGAAGCAGCAATAGAATTTTTTTGTTATTAGAAAATCACAGCTGACCACAGACCAAAAAGGAAAGGCCATTTTTAATATCACAAATGGCTTGTTCAAAATTTATATGCTATGTAGTTTGCTAGTAAAATTGTTCTGCTTCATTTAGAAACTTGCATTATAGAAATAACTGACATTCACAAAAGTTTTGTTTGTCCTGGTTTCTTTGGATGGCAGCTAATCAGAATTAAAACCGCAGTGTTGTACAGAATTGACAGGCAATATCACAAACAGGAACAGACAAAAGGTCAGGATAGGTGGCAAACAAGTGTAGTCACATACAATTTGAAGTTGTCAACCTCAGAAACAGGAATGCAAGAGCTAACATGGACTGAACCTGTGGCTAGGCAGCAGGAGTTGGTGGAGACCTGCTGTTTAGGTGTTTAGGTGATAATTTGACCAGCAGGTGAGATCTAGCTACCCATACACCTCCTAGTCCTGGAAAAAAAACTAGGCTGGAGTAAGTTAGGAGAGACAACATGCTAACAGAACCTTAAGTAGCAGATTTGCTTTGCTGCTAGTCTATAATACAGATTAGGTCTTAATAAAAGCAGTGAGAGATCAACAGTCTTTTAAACAAGGCAGAAATGTCAGAAACCTGACCTTTCATAGTGCTGAGAACCAAACAATGGAACATGCTCAGCCATTTTCCCACCAGCCACCATTGATTTTATGTTTTTTTAAAATTATTTACAGATTAGCATTTTTAATGTATTAATTTTTAAGGGAGCGGCTACAAGCGGTGTGACGTCACGCCGACCGGCGCCACGAGGGCCCCGGCGGCCATTTACTACCTATCTATTGTATGGTCAGTATCTTTCATGCCTCTGCCTGTATATTGTGTGTCTTTGGGAATAAATACCCCTTGCCTATAAGGTATCACACTATTTGGCCTCCTTTGTTCTTTGGGCTCCGGTGGGAGTCCTTTACATCTGCAGAGCGGCCCTTTCTTCTATGTGTGGCAAACACTACCAAGTGGCGAGGGGCTTTTGTGACCAGATCTGACCAGATCCATATGAGGACCCTGGAATTGTCAGCTTTGAATGCGCATTTGTATTGCGTATCTGGTGAGTGCGCAATTTTTACCTTTATCACCTCATCCACGAATCCAGGGATTGGAGCTCTTTGAGGACCCTCTTGGATTTTGAGCACGCTATGGACTATACTCATCATTTAGTCACCGTTTTGCACTTTAACAGCACTTTTATTGGTTTATATTAGTGTATATTTATCAAGTATATAAGTGTATATTCATTCAGCTAGCGCTGCACCTCTCCCTTGTATGCATTTTTGATTATTGTGAAGGTTCATATGGTGCCTTTTTGGTGTTCAGCTGCTATTTTCTTATTTCATTTTATTCAATAATTGATTTTATATAAGTTGCTTTAAGCGCTCACTTATCTTGAGAGAGATTTACCGTATTAATTTTTATGTTTTAATTGTAAGGTTGTCCCTGCCCTGTTCAAGCAAACAAAACAAGCAAGGATGGCAAGGCTATAACTAAAATGCTAATAAGGAATTATAGCTCCTAAATTCAAAGGCAGGACAGAGTGTTCTGCTTTTGCAGATTTGTATACCTTTATGTATACAAATGTATGCAGGTGTCAAGGTCCTACCTTTCCTCAGACCTTGTGCTGCTCCATGTGCTGGTATCCATCTTAGGTGTCTGCAAAGCATTGTGGGATCCTTTATGCTTTCAGCCCTATGCGGCTCCTCCCCCAGGAGGTGGCGGCTTATCACATATAAGTCTGCTGTTTGTGGCTGTCCATTGCATTCGTGTCCTGTCTGTTGCACAACAGCAAGCTCCTGTTTAGCTACTCATTGCTTTCCTGGATACCGACTCGGCTTTGGCTAAGACTCCTCCTGGCTTCTGACCCCGGCTCTGGCGACCATTCTTCCGGGCTCCTGATCCCGGCTCTGGCGACGATTCTTCCTGGCTCTTGACTCCGGCTTTGGCTACGATTTCCGCTGTTGGACTTGCATAGTCTCTTGTCTTATTTTTATATTAATAAACCTACCTTTAATTGCACCTCCTTGTGTGTCTGGCTCCTCGCTCCCTGACAGCAGGCCATAGACGGGTCATTTATCGGCCGAATTTTCGTCCGCACGAAAAATTGGCTGATATTCACATCGTTAGTGGGGTCAGCCCATTGACCGTTTTTCACGGATCTCCTCATTTATTTTTATCGGTCATGCTGGCTGTTTTTCGTGGACATTGGTGGCAGCATCGCTGCCAGCAATGACCAATTTTTTGTTTATCGGCCGAAAATTCGGCCGATAAGTGGCCCGTCTATGGCCTGCTTTAGATCTGCAAAAGATATTCCATTCAAACCAAATAGAATTATAAAAATGTTCTAATTGTCAAAGTAGACATTGCTCCCTTGCCTTGAAAAATATGAAGATTTTGATGAAAATGTACCCACCACCTTTGCCTAAACAACCCAATGCTTGTGGCAGAATCCCTTTTTTCACTGTCTAAAGGGAAATTTAAAAAAATATTGTTTATGAAGCTCATTGTATAATGTCTTACTGACTTTTTCATTTACCTATTAATAATAGTAATAAGAATTTTAAAAGTTAAAAATGGTAAAGATGTTACATTGGATACAGCAGTGTAGAATTGGCCAGCCAATTTTAATAGTTCTAACTTGAGCATGCCTAATGCCTCGTACACACAATGAGAATATCGGACGAATGATCATTAGTTTTTGGGTTTTTTTTGCATGCTAGTCTCATATCGAAAATGAATAGGTTACTAGAGTTACAGAAAATTCTCAGAATACAGACAGAATACAGCTCCCACGATGATGTAACGTATTGTATTGTATTGTCATGTATTCCTTTTGTTTTCAAGCATTAGCAGTCTTGGTCACTCATTTTTTTTAGGATGAATACTGTACTGATTAAAGGAAAATTATTCATTCTGTTAACTTACGAGAACATTTTTTGTGCATGTCCCTTTTCGTATGAACTGTTGTGATTGCCTCTCAAAAGCTGTGTACTAATGATCATATCATTATACAATTGCTCTGAAAGCAGTATTTTTTTGTCTGATTTTCTCATCATGTGTACTAGGCATAACTTTTATTTTATTTATGGGGATAAGTGGGTGCAGTGAATCTGAGTGATATAATGTGATGTGACTTTTTTGCATAGTGTGCTTGCACTTTTATTTTTTTCTTTCAGATGGAAAAAAAGCTCCTGCATAGACTGTCAGTATCAACTGCTTAATGAGCTTCAATCACCCCAAGCTTGAAGATACCATCTAGAAAAAATACCCTATTTAATAGAAAAAAGTAGAGTTAGCCATCAATTAGTTGTTGTAGGCAGATGTTGGTCCTTAACCACTCAAAACTGAGCAAATTCTGACATTTCAAAAATAGATATAAAAATCTTCTTTTTTTGCTAGAAAAATAACTTAGAACCTCCAAAATTATTTTAAGTAAAAGCCCTTGAGAATAAAAAATGGTGGTTGTTGCAAATTTTTATGTCACATGATATTTGCACTGGCATTTTTAAAACACACATTTTCAGGAAAAAATACAGTTGATAGAATTTTAGTGCACAAAAACACAATATAATACCCAAGGTTTTGGTGAACTATAAAAGATGATGTTGCACTTAGTAAATAGATATTCAGCATGTCACACTTTAAAATCTTGCCCGCCCATGGAACAGTGACTAGCTACAGTATATTAAATTTTCTGTATGCGGCTCTTTAAATGTCTTTATAGATTACCAGGTGGCCAGTGACTTCTCTTTACTGAGATATCTATGGTCTATTGGACTCCAGATCTGTCTTCTGCCCTCAAAAGCATCTGATCAAATTGAGTTTGGTTTTATCAGTTGTTTAACAAGCTTGTAATGGCTTTTAAGTGATAAACCAAAGTCGAAATTGACAAAATCCTCATTGCTTCAGGTTTCTGACGTCATAGAGGAGGGACAAGTACTGAGACACTTGCCTCTCCTCTTCTAGCAGCCAGACAGAGTGGTCACAGTGGTTCTGGGCTGCACTGGAGAGCCCATGAATGGCAGCAAGTGGCAGCGGTGGGCCCCTTCTGCACCCTGCAGAAGTGATTGGATGGCTGTAGAGCTCCTTGGATCTATATGAAATCCCATCACCGGCTGCAAATTTTGATATAGGAATGATGGCTGCAGCTGCACTTCAACCCAAGGACATACTGGTATGTCCTAATGGCAAGATGTTTAAAAGCACACAAACACCTCCAACGCTCATAGTACTGCCATAAAAAACTCTATGGTATGTGGACCATTAACAGCAAGTGTGAAAGAATCCTTCTGATTTGCTTTGTTGATGCAGCCCTAGTAGATCTAGTAGAAAACTGTAAAAAGAGCACATAGCAGGGCACAAGCACCTAGTGCATTACCAAAAGTTTATTGTATAAAAAAAAACAAACAGCCAAATGCACACAAAAGTGGGAATATATGAGCATTGTAATACACCAAATCACAATCCAGTGCAAGTGTCATGTGGCCTGATACACTTAGTTGGCAACTGACGTGTTTTGGGGATGAACCCTTTTCTTCAGAGCTAAACCAACTGCTCAACCATCCTCATATATATGGAGCCACCAATCATGTCAACGTAGTGGTACATCAAGAAATGCCACGCGACATTGGACTGGACCCTGATTTGGTGTATTACAACACTCATATATTTCACACTTTTTTGAGTATGGATTGGACTGTTTGCCACTGCAAGTTTGTTTACTTTTCTTCAGCCAACTGTTGGCCTTCTTTTGGAAAAGATTTGGGCAACTATTAATCCACCTAATTACTTTTACAGGCTCTGGTAGATATATTAGTAGCGGTGAGCTACATAATTGCTGCCTAGGGACACATTTTTGGGTACCATAGTTTTCACCATTTCATGTATGTGCACACTTGTGAGTTTGGACATTTTGGCATTTATTTACTTGACACAACTTGATCTGTTATATTTTCCAAATAAATGGGGTTTTTTTTTGTGTTTGTGTGCATTCAAAATCAATTTGAGTGCAATCTGTACTAAACATTTTTATGTGATAGTTTACATTTTGAGAGTTTTATTCGAGAAGTGCAAAGAGAGATCACACAAACACTTGTATGTATGACATTTATATATGTAATGACAGATAAAGATAACAAATGTAATAATATTGGAAAATGTAACAAAATACTTAGCTGCAGGTAGAATATAGATGCTCTTTCAATGGTCCCTGCCTGTTTTCCAATGGCTTGGCACATGCTTATCCCAGTTCTGTTAGAGGACTAACTATTAAGTTTTAGCTGTAGTATATACAGGAGTAGTTGGAAGCATTAGATCATGCGTAAGCATTATTACTATTATTACTATTTAATGAGATACAGGGCTGGTACTACTGTTAGGCAAACTAGGCAGCCGCCTAGGGTGCAGCCACGGCCAGTACCACATTCCTCTCCTATCACCTCCTCATCCCCAGTGAATGTCACCTCTAGATCTGCTGTCCCTCCCCCCCACACCCATTGGCGCACCTGCACATGGGGGCTGCAAGCCAAGAAGGAGGAGTTCAGGTGTGAGGGGAAGAGGCATCTGGAGGATGTGCTGTGACTGGCAAGGCCCCTCCCCTGGTCCGTCACTGACCTGCAGTGTGAGAACTGGAGGCTGTGGGGACAGATAAACTAAGCTGCCAGGTGGAACTGTGGAAGTACTGAGCCGGGCGGTAGGTAGAGTAGGGATGGACAAACCAAGTGCTCCACCAAGTACTTTTTGTGTGTACTGGATGTGTGTGTTTGTGTATGTACTGGATGTGTGTGTGTGTGTGTGTATGTAGTGTATGTATGTGTGTTTATACACTATATTGCCAAAAGTTTTGGGACGCCTGCCTTTTACACACACATGAATTTTAATGGCATCCCAGTCTTAGTCCGTAGGGTTCAATATTGAGTTGGCCCACCCTTTGCAGCTATAACATCTTCAACTCTTCTGGGAAGGCTGTCCACAAGGTTTAGGAGTGTGTCTATGGGAATGTTTGACCATTATTCCAGAAGCACATTTGTGAGGTCAGGCACTGATGTCAGACGAGAAGGCCTGGCTCACAGTCTCCACTCTAATTCATCCTAAAGGTGTTCTTTCAGGTTGAGGTCAGGACTCGGTGCAGGCCACTCAAGTTCCCCCACACTCTCTCATCCATGTCTTTATGGACCTTGCTTTGTGCATTGATGTGTAGTTATGTTGGAATAGGAAGGGGCCATTCCCCAATGAATGAACTTATTGCACAGGTAGCAACCTATCACAGTACCACGCTTGAATTTATTGAGCTCCTGAGAGCGACCCATTCTTTCCCAAATGTCTGTAGAAGCAATCTGCATTCCTAGGTACTTGATTTTATACACCTGTGGCCATGGAGATGATTATTGGAACACCTGAATCCAATGATTTGGGGGGTGTCCCAATACTTTTGGCAATATAGTGTATATGTATGTGTGTGTTTACATGTGTGTATGTATGTTTGTATATGCATGTTTATATGCACATGTATGTACATTATTTTTATTACTGACCCCCTGTTTCTGTAGGATTAGAACAAATTTTTTAGAGCTTATATTTAGTACCAGCAAGGACCAACACTCCTCTGAATAGTGACCCATGCACAGATCACTTTTCAGAGGCATTTGACAGGCAAGGACGAGGTAATATATTGCCTCCTCACTGTCTGACTTAACTCCTAAATGCAGCATTATCATGCCACAACCATGTTAGATTTAAACATACACACATATCTTAAATTACTGCAGTAATCACAATCTGAGTGCCAGCACAGGTCACAGCTAATTGCTCTGAAACTGCTTGCAGCCTAG